CGGGTCTCAAACCCTCAGGCTCAGGCAATCCACTCACCTCAGCCTCCCAAAGGCACGGGGTTACAGGCTGAACCACCAAGCCCGGCTTAAATATTTTTAAAGTTTAAAAAAGAAAAAGGCTGGGTGAGGTGGCTCATGCCTGTAGTCTCAGCACTTTGGGAGGTCATTGTGGGAGGATCACTTGAGGCCAGGAGTTCAATGAGACCCCATCTTTACAAAAAATTTAAAAATTAGATGGGCGTGGTGGCACACATCGGTAGTCCCAGTTACTTGGGAAGCTGAGGCTGGAGGTTTGCTTGAGCCCAGGAGTCTGAAGCTGCAGTAAGTTATGATTGTGCCACTGCACTCCAGCCTAGGAGGCAGAGCAAGACCCTGTCTTTTAAAAAATAAAATAAAATAAAAGCAAAGTGCCTTCATGAAGCCAAGAACTCCAACCTAGGACACAAAGATGATTTCTACTACCATATTCAAATTTTACAAGCTTTACCTTTTTAATTCCAATGAGCTAGAGTCTACAAACATGTTAACATGTTAAAATAATTTACTGAAGGATAAGATGATTAATTTTTAATGAAAATAAATGGTCATCAGAATAGAATGTTAATTGTCCTGTAATTTATATATTTGTTCATTGTTCTTCCATATTGTAGGGAATGACCAGTGTTTAGATTTTAGCCTATGGAGGCGCAGAAGGTTGGGAAGGAAGGATTACTTATGTAATTTCTGGAATGCTTAGAGTGACCAGAGCTGGATTTAATTGCTCAGCCATAGTAGTTCCAGGGCATAAATTACTCTCAGGGTAATTTACACCCAGTGAATAGACTAGAAATATGTATACAGAATGGTCTCTGATAACTTGAAAGCATAAAAGTGACTTGCTTTCCAACAGTACCTTAAAAGATGTGGTAAACCCAATGAAATTAGCATAAACATAATTTTCAGTGATTTTTTTTTTCCTTTCCTTTAGGCTTGTGTGGGGCAACTGATTGACAGCTGCCTAACATGGGTGTTTTGAAAACCCTTAATATGGATGGCCAGTGTCGTAATTATGTTGTATATTTAGACAGAATGAAGCTAAACAGAATAGCAAAATTTATCCTTTCAATGAAACATATGCCTATGCTAACTCTCTAAACAACTCAATTTTTTAAGACAACATATTTTACACTAGAGATGCTCTTTCTGATCCCTTCTATCTTTCTAAATATACAAAACACGTGTGTAACAAAGAACATGTGCACGCTGCAGGATATAAGGACATGAGAAGGCAGAGTAGGGTATTCCCATCTCCTTCTCCTGAATAGCAGCAATTAAAATTCACAGCTGCTGGCTGCCCAGATGTTTCTTGCATTTAATGTTCTGTAATATGCATCGGAATATATTGTATGAACGTGATATTCGTAAACTAGTCATTTCTGTATTCTAAATTCTGCAGACTGGATCCAGTGTGTATATTTTATCTTCTTATTAGCTTCCCTTTCTCTTCCCTCACCCCTTCATTTGCTTGGGGCATTTGCAGTTCAGAAACAAAAGACATTTACAGCTCAGGGTTTAGCTGTAGCAGGGTGTAAGTGCAGGTCAGCCCTGATTTATGTGGCACTCCTGATAAGCAGGGGAGGAGAGCAGAATGGGGGTTTGGGAAGCCTGGTGAACTTGGCTTGACTTATGTCTTTTGCTTTTGTAGGCAGCCAACATCCCTCTGGTGTCAGAACTTGCCATCGATGACATTCACTTTGATGACTTTTCTCTCGATGTTGATGCCATGATCACAGCTGCTTTGCGGATGTTCATGGAGCTGGGGATGGTGCAGAAATTTAAAATCGACTATGAGGTAAGCTGTTCTGTCTTGGGTGACCCAAGGAGTGCACCTGGGACAACACACAAGCAACTCTGAGCCACAGTTTTCCCCATAGAAAACGGGGATGATGATCTCGTCTCTGCACAACTCATGGGATTCCCGTGAGACTCTGATGAGATGTTTGTGGAAGGGCTTTGATCACTGAGGGTGACTCAGACGCAAGGCACCATTTTGATGTGTCCACTGAAGGCACCTACAATTGCCTGAAACGGCCTCTCCCTTCCCATTTCAGACCCTGTGTAGATGGCTTTTGACAGTGAGGAAAAACTATCGAATGGTTCTCTACCACAACTGGAGACATGCCTTCAACGTGTGCCAGCTGATGTTCGCAATGTTAACCGTAAGTGTGTTCGGTGATGGTGGAATCTTCCATCCGTGGGAACCTACAGGGTTTCTCTATGTTTCCATTTCTCTGAAAAATTGCCATGTGATTATCTTATGTCATAATTTACTTGCCCTAGTTATGGGCATATCTAGGTGCCAACAACTTCTGAGCTCAAGAGCTGTAAAATCACCGATGGACGCCTTGAAGCAGGTTTGGCCTTAGGTGATTACTTGAGCCTCTTTTTGTTTTTTATCTTGGTAACTGGTTCATTTACAAAATGCTGGACTGATGGGTAGCCACAGGAAGGAGATATAAGCACCATCCACAGGGACACAGAGATGCTCAGAGGATGCTCACTTGAAGGAATACTCAGGGAGGCCAAAGGAGAAAGTAGGGGCAGGAGTGAATGCTCTCAGGATTTAGAGGCTCACTCTGCTTAATATCTCTGCCCCAGGGACCGTAATCCAGTAGCAGTGGTCATTCTGTTTTGTGAAGATATCTAGGGCAGCTGGCCAGAGGGAAGCCTTGGAATTTAATCTGAAAGCAAATATTAGTGGCAAAGTTTGAAGCAAAATCCTCTGTTCATCCCCATTTGCTGGCAAGAAATAAGGCTTGTTTTGGCATTATGTCCACTTCATTGTTAAGCTGTCATCAGGTAAAATGCTTTCTGGCTTAAATATGTAGGTTTCTTTGGCTTCATAGTTATATACACATATATACATACACGTACATATGTGTGGGTGTGTGTAAACCATACCAAAAAAAGACAATGTGAGTTTTGGATTATCACAGCATAAATACAACTACCTTATATTTTTGCACCTGAATTTAAACACAAAATTGGGAACTCCAAATGAAATGCATTTTCCTTTGGTCCAGAGAAACACAGACTATTCTGCTTCCTCCTCATGAAACTCTCTGCCCCATTCTCTGCCTATTAAAACTTTACTCATTCTTTAAGGCATTGATCTAATGCCAGTTTTTCTACAAAGTCTTCCCCTTTCTCCCAAAGCATCAATAATTACTTCCTTTTCTGCACCATATCTAGTACAATACATCTTTCTTTCTACTGTGTATTTTAAGTTACAAAGCTCTCATTCTGCTATAGAGGAAGCTGTTTGAGGGAAGAGATCATTTCATATTCTTTCAACAATGTTCACTTGTTTGTTCAACCACTGTTTATTGAGGCTCCCACCAGCACCTCACACTCTATCATGCAATTGGTGGGTTTTCAGCACATGGACATTGGCTTGACTTGAACTCAAATGTGTATCTGACATAAGAAGACAGGGCCAAAATGTCTTTTATGCTCGGAAACTTGTATTTTGGGTCGTCGACTACTTAAAGAACAGACAGACTGACCTGGAAAAACTGGACTAGTTCCATTCTTCTGTTTTATCCACCACCTGAGCAGTGAGCCAATTAAGTGAGAAAGGAAGATGCTTTGAACCATGCTCAACTGTAAACATTGCTTGGGTGGGGGGTGATGGTGGTAAACTTCATTTTGCTTTTCTTTTTGTTTTGTTTTGTTTCTAGTTTTTTTGAGTTGGAATCTCCCTTTGTCGCCCAGGCTGGAGTACAGTGGCATACTCACGACCACTGCAGTGTCACCCTGTTGGGCTTAGTTGATCATTCCACCTCAGCCTTCCAAGTTGCTGGAAATACAGGTGTGCACCACCAAGTCCGACTAATTTTTTTGATTCATTATAGAGATGAGGTCTCCATGTTACTCAGGCTAGTCTCAGACCCTGGACTCAGGCAATCCTCTTGCCTCTGCCTCCCAAAACATTTTGCTTCTCTGTATCAGATCTCAGTCAATAAGGAATAATTTTCCATATTCAGAGTTCATGTGCTTGACTCACAGAAGACATTCAATAAAGGAAATTGTTAACTGATTATTTTGGAGAGCCCAGGGACATATGGTGAATTGCCAAAATAAGTAAGCAGGAAACGTTTTCAATGAAGGAAAAAGGGATGTCCATGACACTGTGAGGTAGAGATGTCAAGGACAGAGATTTTTATGTCAAGCTTAAAGTAGTTGGAATGAGGGAATCTGGCAGTGGGGTCGGGGTGGTCACTTAGAAGTACAAGGAAATATATGTCCAGTTTTCATCAGTGAATATTTGCATGAAATGGACAATCTTGAGGCTTTTTAGGAAACTGAAGTAGAACTCTCTAACTATATTGCCACAATAGGGACACTCATGGTCAGAAGATTGCCAGGGTACAGTTGTTTTTGCAAGCATGCCCAACAATCCTGAATAGTGTCACTGTTGGAGAAAGTTTGAGTTTTGTTTTTATATTCAAGCTAACACAAAAAAGAGAGATTTCACTGTTAAAATTTTCTAAAGGGATTGCAAAATAAAAACTTGATTTAGGAAGGATTATGTTAGTAAATATTATTTTTCTCCCTCACATTGAGTTGAGTAACCACATCTGGAAAAGATATTACTTTCTGCTCATTAAACTTCGTTGACCTTACTAAGGGTTGCAATAGGTTAAAAAGTCAACTTTTGTTAACAGAAGCAAGTATCTTCTCCAACTTGACCATGGCTAATCTGGTTAATCAGAATTTTTTCATTAAGAAAGTAATTAAAGAGCTAAAGATTACTCGATCTGTGTAGCTAAAAATGAATTTCATTCACTCATTAATTTTAACCTCTGAAATATGACCTTACCCTGTGGCAAAATAAAACACTACTTATTTCCATGAATGGGTATTAATGCTTCAGGCACTCCTCAGGACTTTTAGGGCCTTTTAACAGTTCTTATTTCATTAGTGGTTCAGTTTTCATTCAGCTGATCTCATATTTTTATCTTCATGTGTTGAGTTAGAATAAAAATTCCCTATTAATCAGGAAAAAAAAAAAGGAAGAAGAAAGAAATTCACCGTACATCCCAACCACTGGATTCAGCACAGGTCACAAGGCTAAGCATGGCACATGTGTGCTGCCAAAATTTCCTCTAGATGGCGCTCCAAGGCAAAGTTTCCCAGCCAGTTGCCAAAAAGAGGGAGGAAAGGTACCAGCCTTCCTTGAAAGTGCTTTACTTCTTCTATCACCGGAGATAACGGAGGCACACGCTCCACCACAAAATAAATGTTTTGGTTTTTTTTCTTTTTAACGAAACACCAACAAAGCCAGTTTGTCTGAAAAGAGCTTCTCCTATCAGGGCTTGCTAGATGACACTGTACTGTGTCCTCTATGTGACCTCAAATCTGTGATTGTGTATCTTGCTAAACCCATTGTCTCTGGGAATGGAAAGATGCATAGTTGAGTGTCACTGCTGAGCAAATTTTGACACCATGTATGACGGGACAAATTCTAAACATATGCCCCAGCTTTCTAACCTTTAACCCTAAAATCATTTCACACAAAAATAAACTTATTGACTCAGCATTGTCTTTTGCAAAAGTATTTAGTTTCATGTCTAAGTAACAAAGCGATTTTGTTACTTTAAGCATTTTTTTAAAAGAACTATTTTGTGGGACAGGCAATTTGATACAAAATGGTAGACATTTAGTTCACTGGGAACCCCGTTAATTACATTAATTTGTTCCATGCCTCCTGCCTGAAATTCCAAATTTATAAAATGAAAATGTCAGTGTTATCTTTGGCTTTTTAAGAGATTCTTAAGTAGTTAAAAATTTAATGAATACTTTTAATTCGGCTGATAAATACAATATGTAGTGCTAGTTACTAAGTGTGGTTACAATGAGGAATAAAAACCCGCAGATCAATCAATCATCATACAGATATCTTTATTTACAGAAGTTTGTAGACAAAATATTCCATCAAGCATCTACATAATTAAAGATGATGGACATATTTATTACATTTACAATGTAGACCAGATATAGGAAACGACTATGCTTTTGTTTGTATTCTGTAAAATAAAAGCTATGGTTGCAGAGACATTTTTCGGTTTTATAAATGATGTATGAGCTCTGACAGATTTTCCAAGGGGGAAAAAAGTGTCAGTATTCTTAAGAGTCAGTATTCTTTACTATCCCATAAATGTACTCATTAGCACTTTGGGCCATGCCCTGCATCCTGTAGGGGCTCAATAAAGATTAATTGAATGAGTGTACTTAGTTTAGGGTAGTATTATTCAAGAAACCATGTGGCTCAGTGTCCAGTTAAAAAAAAAAAACTATAAAATGTTGAACAACTATCACTGCTCAAAATCTTGTTTTTTTTCATATCACACTAAGGTTCAGCTAGGGTTCATATAGAATATTATGATCTTGCAGAATTCACTGGATATGAAAAGAGAGGAGCACATGATCACATTAAAATTTATGGTGGTGCTGGCAGCGTGGTGCTGGTGGGGAATTGCAGTTAAACACTAATAATAACCAAGTATCACAGCAAACACATTGACACCCCCTGACATTTACTGGGGGCTTCTTAAATCTTAATGTGGAGGTAGCGTGTTTAAATCCATATTTGTATTGTCAACAAGGTTATTTTCAGAGATAAGCCAAGCTGTTTTATTGATAATTCAAACTAGAGAGCAGAAGGAATGTTTAGGAGAAAATCTACCATATTCACCAGCTTACGGATAACGCACTGCTCACTGTCTGCAGTTTCCAGGGAAGTCTTTGATTTTTGAGGTAGAAAATTTTTTTCTGGAAGGAGTTCTTAGAAGCACCATGGAAACTCTTCTCTCCATCTCCAAGAAGAATAGAACCAATTGAAGTTTAAAATATTTTCACTCAATAACCAGAATCCTAATCTCCACAGAAACTGAATTTTTTTTTTGTAGTTTTTAACATTGGAAGAGACAAAGAAAGAGAAATCTAGATGTTTTGTTCTGTAACTATCATAAAGTAATAAACAATAATCATATATAATCATCAAACATTATTTTACATTGCATTTCCTTATCAATAAAGGCAGTAACTAGTTATATTTACTTTAAAATAAAAGGCAGCATTATCATAATAATACAATAAAATCTGCATGTTAGAAAAACGAATTATTTAATCTTCATGCAAATGTAACTTACAAGAT